AAGGAAGTGGAGAAATCCCGAGCACCAGAAAGGCATTTCTTTATTCTCATAAACTATCACTGGAGTTTTTACTGTGATACGCTTCTGTCTGATGGAGCCTGTAATGAGATGAAAGAAAGAGTTCCTTGAGAAAGAGAAAACAGCCAGTGCCTATTCAGTACTTCATAGCTTGGAGAGAAAAGGGAAGAAGGATGTGACAGTAGTTGAAGGATACCAAAACCTCACACATGAAAAATTTTTAAAAAAATCTGCTAATAATACAGTGCCTACCAAAGAAAGTAGAGTGAGAGGAGGAAAAGCACTATTTATTTAGTTAGTGTGGATTAATGGCTACTATCATGTCTCCTGAGCAGAAGGATTTACTAAAACAACCTCTTAGTTTCATTTTGTGCTAACAACTCTACCAACTACCTTAATTAATTGCCCAAAAACTGTTAATAACCATGTCATCATAGACCATCATGTAAATGAGCTTTAAAAGTAAAATCTGAAGAGCAATCTTGCCATTCATTTATCTGAACTAATTATAATGTAGGAATAATTCTCACAGCAGGTGAAAACTGAGAAAAAGCATGCTTTTGCAGGAAAGCAAAACATTTTAGATTTGACATCAAAATTTTGGGAGAAACAAAGAGCTTCCTTTATTGCAAGGCAGAGTATTTTAAGTTTGTTATTTTCGTTACATTCATATTTTTAATGACATATTCGTAAAAAATCAAAGAAGATACGGTGCTTGCTCTGATAGCACATACACTAAAATTGGAATAACAGAGAGAAGATTGTTAGTTTGGCCCCTGTACAAGGATGACATGCAAATTTGTGAAGCGTTCTATATTTTAAAAAAAGACATGCAAGACTGTGATCAGTTTTCTTTTTAATGTTGATGAAATAGAGTATCATATTCTCATTTTATTTTCATGAAGAAATTATTTGTAGAATCAATGAGGAAGAGAAGGTGTTACACTTGAAAATCAGTGGATATTCATAAACTGACTGGTTGTTTTGTTTTAGTGACAGTATAATTTATAGCTATAAATTGTAGAATATATCCTGTGTTATTCCAGTGGTGGAGAGGTGGATAACCTTGTGCCTGACAAAATGGAGCTAGAAGAGGCCATGAGGAGATACACCAGCCCAGTGAACCCGGCTGTCTTCCCCCATGTGGCTGTGGCGCTGTTGGCCATTGGCATGTTCTTCACCTCCTGGTTCTTCATTTACGAGGTTACCTCCACCAAGTACACTCGTGATGTCTATAAAGAGCTCCTCATCTCCTTAGTGGCCTCACTTTTTTCTGGGCTTTGGAGTCTTCTTGCTGTTCTGGGTTGGCATCTACTTATGAGCTCTCAAGGGGTCCATCCAGGTGGCTTCACTGAATCCCTGCTTCCATAAATTCCTTTGTTTACTATTGTTGGAAGTATCCTACCTGCTGTTCATGATAAAGGCAGATATGTGACCATCAAAAAAATGTAGAATATATTATTTCTTAGGAAGGCAGCCTGGTGCAGGGAAAAGTGATGGATAGAAATTCACATCCTGATACATACTTTTGAGCAGTGTGAGTTTGGGTTTACTACTTTTTACCTCTTGGAGCCACAGGATGCAGAATTGATATGAAGACAAGCTGTTATGGTATGTAATGGACCCATCTCTGTTCTTGACGTATGGTTAAGTATTTATTGTAGCTATATTTTTTCTTGTTTTTCACCTTTGTAAGTTTGGTTATTTACATTTTCTTGAATTTTATTACCTTTCCTTTTGAGGAACAATCCTGTTATTTATAAACTAATTTATCCTATAATGTTAAAAAGTGTTCAGAAAGACTCCAAAGGGGAAAATATTTGGAAACTTTCAAGAACAGTCTCAGTTAGAAGGAATCTTAAAACTCTTTCTAGAAGCAGATGGTACTTTTAAAGTCTGCATCTAGTGAAATGAATTGTTTAAAATTCTAGTTCTCCATGTGTGAGAAAAGTTGCAGTATCAGCATAGGTGGAAAAAAAGCTATATGCCCTGATCTTTAAGTTGTCTATGAAAGTATATATAAAAGGAAGTCATTAAAGTTATTTAGAAGAGGAAGAATCTCATGAACTTCATTTACATTGCCCATTCTGACCTGGGATAGATAGAGAAGCAGAAGAGCACAAGGAATCCTAGGCCACAGAAAGTCATTTCTTTATTTTTAATAAAATATCAATGGAGATTTTACTATGATATGCTTCTGTAGGATTTTGCCTTCATTTTGATTTCAATAAGTGAAAACTTTGGAGGGTGGCATATAGGCTTGCTAATAACCTCATCCAGCTCAACTTCATGTTCCATAAAGTGTTAATATCTTTTGTTAAGAAAATTCATCCAAAACTTGTAAATAAAGCAGAGGATGACTGAATGACTTGTCAATGTCATTGTTTAACAGATCTGTCTGAGAATTAATTTAATTTTAAAGGAGAATACACCTGTATTGACTTAACTATTTACAAATCATTTTTTACTATTTTCCATTTACATGTCAACTTGTGTGTTTCTAGCTAGGAGAAAAGATGATGCTAAATGTTATAGTTTTATTTTTCTATAGGATATTACACAGTTTTGTATCTTAGCAAATCCATTCCAGCATTCCTTTGACTGACTATTATTTTAAAAAATCATTCTGACCCTTGTTAAAGAACAGTAAGGAAGATTTTATTCAGAGGACTAGTGCAATGGCATTTTGCTGTAGGGGAGACAGAGATTGGGCTCAATTCTAAGTACAGGGAAAAGAGGGGATTTACACCCAAAGAGCAGGGTGGGGGCATCGGTGGATAGAAAATTACTAAGGAGGTATTCAAAACTAGTGGGGGTGGGAGGGTTTCTGCTAAGGACAGGCTAGGGAAATCAGATATTATGAGGGATAGGGAGATAAGGGATTTGATCAGATAGTGTGGGTGATCAAACATTGAGGGTGGCAGTTCCTTCTAAACTGACTTAGCAAAATTCTTGCTGCAGATGAGTGATGCAGGCCCAACAAGGAAGAACACTAAAGCCCAAGGTCAAGACTTAGAGGTCTTAGAGGAGCTTGATGAGAATTAGATCAAGGAGAGCCTCTCTTTGTCTTTATGTGTTTCTGTTTCTCAAAATCTCCTTTGAACTGGTCTTTCCATCTTACTTGTTCCTTCGTTAATTGATTAATTAATTGATTAATTAATTAAATCTTTGATATGTGTTCATTTTATATTTATATGAGAGTCATGTTTTTAATTTATTTGAAAATTGTACTTTAACCCTTCAATCATGAGCTCATTTTTATGTAAAGGTTTTTGAAATATAACTTTCAAAGTTGTGAAGGAGATAATGTCCCTTCACAGTATTCTGATCTAACTCTATGCTATTGATCAGTTCTTTAACTAATTAGCAAATTATTGCACACATATAGTAAGAATATCAGCATCTTCAATAAGAATATGTTCAATTAGGCAGTAACATATCAAATGTTTCTCTCAAGAGCATTTCTACACTTTTAATATTTTAGGAGATAAGGATTATCACAAAAGAGCTAAGTAAAACCATTGTATGTGCTCTGCAAATGTAAGATATGGAATAATACACAGGCATTTATTGCTTAAGTGATATTTTTTTAAACGACATCTTAATAAGAACAGCACAGTGCCTTGACAATAAAGTTTGTATGCTTAGAGTTTGCATTGCCATTAGATGTGATTTGGGAAAATGAAGTAGGAATAGAGATGAGATAAAGATGAGGAGACCAAACATTATATTATATGTCCAATGTTTTATAGGCTACTCCTTTTTTTCTTCCTTTCTTGTGTTTTGGTTTGAGTTCAAACGAGAAAGTGGGTAGTTGGAGGAGAATTAGGTATATAGGGACCTCTTACAAAGATTTGAGAATGATGTCAAGAAACTACACCTGATAGTGTAGCTTGTAACAGTGGGTGTTACCTACACAGAGTGCACCCAGGAGGTGCTGTGACCTTGGACTGAGGGAGTTGACCCTCAGAGAGAGAACGGCAAGAATGAATATCATGACTTTACTCTCCTTTCCCCATCCCCTGTGGATACTCCCAGTTGGCTAACTCTAACCAGAATCCAGAAGATAAAGTTGGGCATTGGTGCAATCCCTATTCCTTGCCTCCTCGTGGCACAGGGTAGGGCGGAGATGGGTGAAAACATGGACCTACAAGATAGTATGAAAGATGTAAATATTCAACAGGGATGTTAGTTGCTAGACTGTAGGACAGGAATGACTAAGACTGGAAGACTTTTCTGGCTGGGATCAGAGGTTGCACAATCCAGTTTCATGCCAAAGGAACACGTAGTATTGAGTGAGAGCACCGTCTGTCCAGGTAGGGAATTAGGTCTGGAGGGTAGTAGTCAGTAAAGTCCAGGGAGATGCAGATAGGTTCTGTGAACATAGGTAGTTGAACCTAATTAACATTCTGGAAATAACCAACTTGGTGACAGTGGGATAGTCCCTTTAACTTGCCTAGTTTTACATTTTTCATGTGTAATGGAATGAATGCTGTATCTTCAATTAATTTTAAGTGGGAAAATAAAAATGGGAGCAAACTTTTTTTTTATCAGTTTTTATATTGTCTTACTTCTAAGTATTGTTTTTCAGAAGAGCAGCTAAAACAGCGTCTTTTGTGTTCTCATATTATTATTTATCAATGAATTCTCCCCGAAGGAGGCAATCAACACCAGATTGTTAGGGTCACTTTAATCAGAACTGTAATGGTTTACTCTACTCTATGAAGTTGATATTTACTCTATATATAATGAGGAAGCAAGAAGTGATAAAATGGTCAGCTGCAAGAATTAAGCATTTATGTCCAAATGGAGGGGAAAATCTTTATTTCAATTAGATACTCCACTCAAGTATAAAGGAAAAGGTAAGTTAGTGTCTCTATTACAAAAGAAGCAACTCAAGGTTAAGTAATTTGAATGTGTACTAGTTGACCCAAAGAGAGAATGAGGGGATTGGTATTTAACCTAAGGTTGGGTGCATTTCCAGCCTTGGGGGACTGGAAGGCCCTCTCTGAATTTCACTGCGGAGATCGAAATGTACAGCTTGATTGCCCCTGTCAAGTGTGTGCTTGGCTTGCTCTCCAGCTTGCATGTCTCTGCTGATTACTGGCAGCTTGAAATTGTCCTGAAAGAGAATGAGTGCTCTTGATTAATCCCCATGCACATTATCAACATATTATTGATTCATTATCAGCACATCGTGTTTCATTTCTCTGCAACGGAGATGGGCTGAAGGCAAATGTGACTTCAAAACGGATGCAACCCCATGAACATCCAAATTGGGTAGCTAGCTTCTTTTTCTGGGTAAAGTCCTTCCACTACATAAAATGCTGAAAATATTCCTCTTCTCTGGAGAAGAACTGTAGAGTTTAACAGCTCCAGTTTAACAACTATAAAGCAATCTGGCTTATTTTATTATTTATGTGTTTAGTTATAAAAGCAGCAGATAAACAAGTTCTTTAAGTTAGAGTGCATTAGATACTGAGCACTTTATTATATACAGCTTTCATTGTTAAATGAACTGTTAAATACAAAGCTTTAAAGAGATAAGTTAACATTGACTTATTCATTAATCTTTTATTTATTCAGTAGTCCACTTACTGGGACCTACTATATTTTGTATGCTAGGCACCAGGAGTGCAAAGCTGAAAAGGCATGGTTAGATCCAGAGTTCACAGAGAGAAAAAGAAAAAAAATTTATGCATTATATACATTTATATATATAAATTATTATTTATATATTATGTATAAGTATATATAAATTATATGTAATATATAAACATATAAAACATTATGAATATGTTTAGTAATAGAAATACATACAAGGTAATGAAGGGATAATTAATTCTTATGGCAGGATTTCAGAGAAAATTGTGACCATGCCAGGGTTTGGGAAATAAATAGGGGTTCTCCCCGAAGACGAGGATAAGAGATCTTGGAGCGAGGAAACAGTCTGTGAAAGAGAACTACAAGTTTCCTTTAGGTTATGCTAAGTAGTTGAGTGTTTTTGAAGTATACATTTCAAAAGAGAAGTGATGAGATATTAGACTACAAAAGTAGGTAAGGGACGGGTCTTTGAGGGGCTGTCTTCTGTATCAGGCAGGCTGGCCATTAGTAGGTGGTAGGGTTCTGAACACTGGAATCGAATCTGCATATTCGAAGACCATCCTGATACATTTGAGTGTTACATAACTAGAATTAAAGATCCTAGTCACAGGCTATTAAAACAGGACAGTTGAGCAAGTGCCTTAAGGAAGTGGCCATGGGGATGAAGGGGGAGATTCAGTATGTATCTAAGAGATATAATCAGAGGGATTTAGTTCAAATTGGAGGTTGGCAATAAAGAATTGTTGAAGATGCCTCATAGGATTCTGTCTCATGTCTGTTCCCTACCAACTGAGGTAGGGAAAAGCAATAGAAAAGTAGAATTGTGGTACTAGGAAGCAGGGACGAAAGATAGTGTGGCAGAGTAATAATAATTGGTGATGTTTTCACAAGATTGACTCTAAGGGGTGGGTGTCTAGTAGACAATGGGATCTTTAAGTCTGACTTACTCAGGTATAGGAAGGCAACTAGGGAATGGAAAAACCCAAACCCTGGGCAGAAATGATAATAGTACATATTACTCTCAGGTAGGTCATAATGGCTGTGTCTCCAAGACGACGCCCAAAATAGTGCAGGCAAAGATAGAAGACTATCCTTTGCAATTCCACAGGTTAACTATGTCCTTAGAAGTCACTTCTTTTTATTAAGTTGTACTGATCAGATCTTCATTAAAAAAAAAAATAAGACCACAAATATCTATCCACTGAAATCGAGGCTCTTACTAATGTACTTACTATTCCTACTTTAAAAAATATCTTTAAAAAGAATTTTAGGCTTCACAGAAGTTGCAAAAATAGTACAAAGAATTTTCTGTGTACCCTTCATCCAACTTCCCCAATGATGTCATCTTAGACAATAATAGAATTATCAAAATAAGGAAATTGATATTACTACATTATTAACCAAACTACAGACCTTATTCCAATTTCACCAATTTTTACATGCATTCATTTGTTTGGTGCTTTTATGGTTGTTTTGGTGTATAGTTCTATGAAATTTTAACACATGTATAGATTCGTGTGACCACTACCATAGTCAGGATACAGAAGAGTTCCATCACCCCCAAAAGTCTCTCCTATCAATTTAGAGTCACTCCTTTCCCCTCTCCATCCCCTAATAAGCAGTGATTTTTTTTTCTCTTTCTCTATAGTTTTGTCTTTTTGAGAATGGCATGAAAATGGAATCAAACAGTATGCAACCTTTTGAAAATGACTTCCTTTACTCAGCCTAATGCCTTTGAGATTCATTCAAGTTGTTATGGATATTAGTAGCCAATCTTTTAAATTAAAAGTTACTCTCACTTGCAACACCTATCTCTGGCCTGCAATTACTTTGGGGTTTTGGGCACTCTTATTAGCCATGATTAATAAATGGTAATGTTTCACTTATGTAAGAATGAAATTTGACTGTAATATATTCACATGAAAAGAGCCACGGGGGTAACCCCAGGGAGGTAGCCTTAGTGGTCCTAGCCGAATGCCTCACCTGGATCCCTCAGAGGCCAAAATAAGGAGTGGGTCACTCAGAATGTAAATACCTCCAGGGTGATGACACATCAGGACATGAGTTTCCGGTGGCTACAGGAGGCAAGGGAAACTTCCTGGCTAAAGCCCACCTGGAGGATGAGATCTGACTTGCAGAACCTGCCAAGGAAGCATAAACCTGCGGTACGGACTGAGACTGGAGCATCTCTGGTGCCCCTGCAGGTCCCAGTCTTCCCTGGGAAACTGGCAAGGGCCTATGGACAGTACCCGTGGTTAGCCTGGAGCAGGCAATTTCCTTTGCAAGTATAAATAAACACTCAGTCCTGCAACTGTGCAGCAAATGCTTCAGCAGGTGCTAGAAGTATTGGGCAAGGTTTCTGGCTGCCAAGCCGTGTGGCCCTCAGACTAAATGCAGGAGAGCAAGCTCCCATGAGGGAGGGAGGCCAATGTTCCAAGCGTAGGGCCGCCTATTAAGCTGAATGACAGGCTGTCTGCTCTTCCATTTTCGCTGTCTTTAGAAATTTTTAAAGCCAGGGCTTGAAAGCTTCTTCTCGGGATTAGTCATCGAAAACATGACATTGATCCAGTTATGGCAGAGACTGGTCAAAAGAATAATGAACAGCTAGAATCTCACAAAGGGTGCCAAACTGTTGGTGAGGAACATTAGAGATGGTGGCTCCTGAAATAAATGAGTGGAGGTAAGGCTGTATCAGACCTGTTATCACCTCTTATTTTCTGGCTTTAGTATTAAGTGTTCGGCTTTGCAAGTAAAGGTTGACATTAACACTAGAAGAACTGCCTGATGGGGGACGGCAAACATCTACGACCTTGTCATCTGAGGAGTGTAGGATAAAACACATCTTTATACATCCACAGCCTTGAGAGATGGAAAACCTACTCTGGAATTTGCATTATTTGTTAGCTGTTCACTGGGAGTTACAAAGTAATTATTTTCATTTATCACCATTTTATACCTGCTGTCAGCTAAGTGCCAAGGCCATAGTAAGAATTCAGTAAATATCTGTGGAATAGAATGCAGAAGCCTTCTGGACTTCCTAAGACGAGGTCAGGTGGCCCCATAGGCATGTGTTTCAGCTTCAGAGCAGTGATTACATTCCACCTTAATGGCCTTTTTAATTTTTTTTGTTACATTTTTGCATCTCTCTCCAATATCTGGCTTACTGATAATAATATCTAGGTTTTCTGTGGTTGAAGTATATAAAGAAAATAAGACGTTAGAAGGAGAATAGTCCTTTCAGATAATTGTGGACATTCTCTGATATTCAGAAAATTGGACAAGTGGCAGTTTCTTAAAGGTTAGTTGCAATGGGGAATCTGAGATCATGTCAAGGAGTCTCTTGTACTGTTTTTTTATGTACACAAACACACATCTCTCTATACATTGGTTTATCTTGCCCTTTTGAATGGCTCTTTTATCCATGCATGATGTTGTAACAACCTGCATTGGTCATTTGGAAAATATTGGTTCATGGGTCAAGTAATGTCTTCTTTACCTGTCTATTTCACTAGAATGTAGGCATCTTGAAGGCAAGGTCTGTAGTGTGTTCATTGACCACAGTGCCTGGTGCCTGATAGTACATAAATATTTGTTGAACTGATTAATGCATGAGTGGAGGTCACGTGATATATCCACTGAACCACTCTCCAGATTCTTCCTTGCATGTGACACTCTTTAAAAAGAAAAATAACTCATTTATTTAATACAGTTATTTGTTAATGTACACTTAGTTTTATTCTCCTGGTTCTATGATTTATAAACTTTATGATCCTTGGCAAGAGATTAATGCCTCCTAGCCTCAGTTTCCTTATTTTAATGGGGCTAACAATCTTTGTTCTACTAACAAGTTTCTGGGAGGACAAATTAGATCATGATATTGAAAAGAATGTGTGTATTTTGTTTGAGCTACATATGGGGCCTTTATTTACACCTCATTTCAAGTCTCTAATTTGTACTTTATTTTTCTGCTTTGATGAGATTAAAGGTTGGCTAAGATAAAAAATATTACTTTTCAACCATTTTCCTATAGCCCAAAACCACAAAAGAGCTCCTATTTCTAATTAGATCGTATTATCGCTCATAACCTGAGGATATACATAAATCAATCTTCAAAGGCATTGAAATTCTCACAGTTATTCAAAACTTTTAACTTCATCTGATGTATCAAGTCCTGGGTTATAAGAAGAGGTAAACCTTTTATGCTAAGCAGGGAGGTGATTGGTTTTCTCAGAGAACCTATCTGTATGCTTGTAGATGACCTGACAGATACAGAATTTACATTCCTTCCAACATGTTTGACAAAAATAAAATTTTGAAACAACTGACATCCACCAAATACAGCCAGATTGTAAAAGAATTACATGGTCAGTGGGAGATAAAGATATAAGCATTTGTTCTTGAGCACTTGCTATGTACTTAGTTATCGATCATGACTGAAAACAGGCAGAGACAAAAACATACACACCCAAAACTTAAGGTCTGATTTAGGGCCATGCATGTACTGTTCAGAGAAGTGAGATATCAATTCTATGAGAATTCATCAAAGAAACGTTTATTTTCCAGAATTTCTGCAATGCGGTAATATACTTTAACAGTGAAGGAAATTCTTTAAAAGGACAAAAGAAAAAAAAAAACTAATGATGTAATGTATGGTGACTAACATGATAAAATAAAATTAATTTAAAAAAGGACAAAAGAAAGAAAGTAGTTGGGGATCAGGTTGACTGTGGGCATGAGGAGTCTGGACTCTATTCCATGTGTGATGTAGACTCACTGAAAATATTGGCCTGTGGAGGGACATGATGAAAACAGTATTTTAGTGAGATTAATCTGGCAATAAAGTTCACAGCTAATGTGAGCTGGAGCTAGTGGATCTGTCACAAGTGATCCATCTAGGCCACTATTATAATGCTAAGATAAGATCTTGATCTAGATTAAGAGCAGCCAAAAGTAGAGATGACTACATAGTTTATAAGGAAGCATCTGTTGCCAGTTCTGAGAGAATTAGTGGAATGCTTTGAACTTGTAAAAAAGTGGGCTACATGTTTTCCTATTTATGATGTTTCAAAGTGTGTTGAAAGCTATTTTTTTTAAGTGTGCACGTGTATGTGCTTCTACCAAGAATGAACTTTAGGTTTTATTTCTATTCTCAGGGATTCTTCAAGTCCTTACATGAGTCCTTACTTACATCGATGTCTCCAGTGTGTATGCTGAAGTCATTTGACCCTCTAACGCTGTGTAGATACCGCCTATGAGCAGATGGGGTTCATCCTTCAGGTTTAGACATTGACTTGTGTTTAAACCTAGCCATCCATAGTGACTGAACATGTCAGTTATTCAATCCAAATGCCTATATCAAAATTAACCATACAGAAGTAATGCTGCAATTTAATGGGGATGTTGCAAAACCTTTATCAGGAGACTCCGATCACACTCTTGCTTTTGTAGAGTCGTTTTTATTTTATAATCCATGATAATCAAGGAAAAGTTGATAAATGGTGATAGAAAGAAGAGAGCATTGCTTTTTTTGGTGATGTTGTTACAAATTCAAACATATAATCTGTCTTGAGATTCTTATTCCTGATAAAGCAAATATCACTTAGTTATCTGTAGTATGATATATGTACTACGAGTGAGCACAGACATACCGGTTTTTGAGAGTCATAGCTTGCTTGTGATGATCTGCCATGGCAAGAACAAATCTCTCTTGTCCTTGGGTGTCCAGACCACAACTACATGCAAAACAACATGGCCATGAAGGATTACAAAAGAATTATTCTTCCTCATGGTTTTAACATAGAAAAAAAAAAAAAAAACCAGTAGAAGTTATCTTGAAACTTGGGGCATGGATATTGAATGAGTTCTAATGGGATCAATAGATAGAAATACATAGACTAGTGATACTGTGAAGAAACCTACATGTATTAGACTAGCAAGCAGCAATTACAGTTAGTAGGGTGACCTGTTTGTACCAACTTGCCTGGAACTTCCTCAGTTTAGCACTAAAGTCTCCACAGCCTGAGAAAACCCTCACTGGTCACCCTAAATCTTAGAATGCTTTTTTAAAAAGATTTTTATTTATTTATTTATTTATTTGAAAGAGAGAGAGAGAGCGCGGGTGCGCACCAGCAGGGGGAGGGGCAAAAGCAGAGGGAGAAGCAGGCTCCCCGCTGAGCAGGGAGCCCAATGCCGGCCTCGATCCCAGGACCTCATGACCCAAGCTGAAGGCAGACACCCAAGCAACTGAGCCACCCAGGTGTCCCTAGGATGCTTTCTTGAATAACAGGAGCATGGATCTCTTTCCTCCTTCCCTTCACCTTCCTGCATTTTCTTCCCCTAATAGAATTCACCTGCACGTCAGCCCCATCCTGGTCACAACTGAGACCTCTGGCTGAAAATGCCTGTTGACGGTCGAAAGCCTTCTAAGTAACAGAAATAAGAGGCAGTTTTTGCATAGACTTTCACATACATCGTACCTTTCAAGTTTCATGGGCCTCCCACGCTTAAGTTTTAAAAAATCCCTTATCACTATTCTAAACCATTATACTAAAAACCTCATCATCCAGTTGTGCTTAATCTGATATTTAACAGCAGATTGTATTTGTAGAGGTGAGGTGAGAGGAAAATTTATTTGCCTAATATTTATTTTATTTTAAAGGTAACAACTTTGATATATAATTTCATATTTTAAAGCCTATGTTGTTGAAACCTCTTCAGATGTGCTAGAAGTACTAAAATAGATACAATCTGGTAGGCTGTCAGGAAAGCAAACAAAAAAACTGCTAGGTCAGGAGCACAGCTGTTTGTGGAGGGCATTAAATTTTTTTACAGTCTTTCCCATAGGCCAATATGCTTTTATGCATTGATTTATATTTTAATAATGACAGACTCCACTGGCATGAGCATTTCAGTTCCTCAGAAATTAGATAAAATCAAAATTTAGACCCAAGATAAAAGGTGGAGGGAATTAGCATTTTGCAGCATTAATTAGCTTACTTGCCCTCGCTTATTTCTGATCAAATGGAGGATGCTTAGTGCAGCCACAAACAGAGCTCTGAATATCCTTCAATTGTATGATATGACATTGATGTTTCTAATGCATGTAAATTCAATAGCTTTGCCTTGATTTTAAAAGTATGGCTTTAAAAACAGTGGTTCGTTTTAGATCACTAGGGTAAGCAATGAACAAAGGAAGCGATTGGATGTAAAATATAACATTGAAAGGACTCCTGTTAAAAGAATGCCCAGGCATTGAAAACACTCCTAGAGAATGTGCAATTATGCAAGCTTTCTCCCTGTTCGCTACTCTGAATTTCTTCCCCAGCATTTCACTGTCTCGCATCTTCATTATGATTCAAGGTTGCCAGAAGAAGCTGGTAACTTTAGCAGGCAGGCGTTTCATTTTTAAATAATTGTTTGCATTGTTTTCCGAAGCACAGGACTTCGATCTCACTCAACCAGCTCCTCCCTGGCCCCATGCCTGCCCCACAGCCGCTCCTGTATCCAGCTCAACCTGTGCATTTTCTCTACCGTTGTCTCCCCAGCCCTTCGTTTCTCACTTCCCCTTTCCACATGGCTGCTTGGTTTGCAGACGATGCCTTCTTACAGATGTGTTCCCGCCCCTGACAAACAATTACTCCTGTCCCCCCAGCGGGAGGCCATTAGGACATCATCACGGGTTCTGCTAAGTCATCTCGCCACCACAGTTGTGAGCCATCACCTCCCATCTGAGACTCTCCAGGCATATGCCACGCGGGGAAGCTAGCAGTCACAAACGACGGCACCTCCAGGCATATTATTTGTTATTTGGGTCCAGAAGTGTAACAGATAATGGCTAATACACTAATGTCTGAGGGTCCCGTTGGATGCTTTGACTGGCATCATTTGCACCAAACTTGCAAAAGACTGAATGGGTTATATAACTGTGCTAGCCGAGAGGTAAAAAAAAAAAAAAAAAAAAAGGCGTTTTCACATTTCCACAGCAATTACACACAATGGTTCAGAAGAGACATGACAGCAATAGTGATTCTACAAAGTGATTCTGTTTTGCAGACTTTCAACATTCTGAGCTTTGAATCAGTGAATTATCTGATATTAGTTATTTTCCTGGAAAATGGTTAACCAGTGCTACGTTTATTTGTATTTTAATCTCACAGACCCAGTTTATGTGGATACACATAGTGAAGACCTATCTAAAATGTATTCCTTTTAAATCAGTGAAATACACATGCAACTGAACACTTGTGGTTCTTTTTCCCAAGGCTTCTCTGACAGCCCTACCTATTAAATTCTCTTGCTTTAAGAGGTAACATCTCACAGGGATCTCGGTAAATTTAAGCTCAATATTTAATATATCATGAAATAAGTGGATTTTGGCATGATGCCATATTAACACTTGGATTGTTTTTTATTGATTCTCAGGTCTAGTTTACTGCTGCACTGGGGTGTGATGTGTCTTTGTGTAAAATCAAACAATGTGCTAACAAGCTAAGACTTCCACAGAGGCCCAGAAGGCAAATGAAGAAGGGGGCGCTGTTCTCCCTGTCAGAAACCTCAACAGTTCGTTTGTTTCTATCACCGGTTTGCTCAAGCTCCTTAACCTCACCTCCTCAAACCTCCAACATAAAAATGTCATCCATTTAGAGTCGTTGCAATGAAATCCAGGTGAGATTAGTATGAACATCTGAATTACAGGATCTTTGGAAGAAACAGTTTTATTTTTGTCCAGGGTACATAGGTAATTGAACCACACACTGAACACTGTGTTCTCAGTCTGACACAACATAGACACTCAATAAATACTTATTTAATTGAATGAAATTGAATCCAAAAGCCGTGTAGACGCCCTACTTTAATGAGCAGGTGAAAATTGTTTCTAATTGGAAAAGCAGAGTATCAGCCGCAAGAACCCAAGGCTCGCCTTAAATTTTAACTAGCCATTGGGTGCCTGGGTGGCTCAGTTGGTTAAGCGACTGCCTTCGGCTCAGGTCATGATCCTGGAGTCCCAGGATCGAGTCCCGCATCGGGCTCCCTGCTCGGCAGGGAGTCTGCTTCTCCCTCTGACCCTCCCCCCTCTCCTGCCCTCTCTCTCTCAAATAAATAAATAAAATCTTTAAAAAAAAAAATTTTAACTAGCCACTTGCACTTGGAAAGATCCTCCCAAAGTACTTGAATTCAATGTGTGCTCTTAAATAGCTAGATAAACATGCCTGCTCAAGGTGGTTGTATTGTTTATTTGCTCAGGTAAACTAGTTTTCCTTGCCTTATTTTTTTCCCTTCTACCAAGAGGAAGGAAGAGAAACTATAATCCTGGTTTTTCTCTTCACCTGGATTTTCACAAATTCTAAATTAGGCAAAGAGAATTTGGACTATTTATTCTGTATTTTATCCCCATCTTCTATTGGCTCTAGTAAAAAGATCTACAAAAATAAAGAAACATGGAGCTCCAGTTGAGTTGGCCAAAGGGTATCAGTGACATAAAAATGCGGGAGCTTTAGTCCTGTCTTAATGCATCTCATTTCAACTGTCAAATACATCCAACTTCCAAACCAGGTGTCTCTGAAAACAGAAAGAGAGAGATAGAGAGCATGCACATTGTTTTGTTTATGTACTTGGAGAGAATGAAGTCTGAAAACACGTCAGTGTAGAGACTGACCTGTTACTTTTAAGTCTCAAATGACTTAGTGTCAATTATTCAGTTCAATAAATATTTGCTGAGGTCCTACTATATAGTAAAGATATTCTATTAGCTGCTGTAGGTAGATACAAAAGGGAGAAAGGTAAGGTACCTGCCTTAATGGAGTCCCATAATAAAGGTATGAGAAGACTATAGCACACAAATAACCACATAAAACAGAATATTCTGTAAATTACGGATGTTAAAGTCAGATGGACCTGAGTTTGAGCCCAACTCAGTATGACCCTGATCATACCACGTAACTCCTTAGAACCAAATTTCCATATCTAAAAATGCAGGCTCAATAATGATGACCTCTCCCTGTAAAGATTAAATGTACAACACACCTAAAGTATGCAGTGTAGCATCTAGGACACAGTTAAATGCCTTAAAAAATTGGGATTTATTAAATGGCCTGAACTGAGGGTTTTCCCAGAAAGATGGTAAATAAGATAGGCCTTGAAATAGAGACAGAGTATCACCAGGTCTACCTAGCTGAGGTGGGTAAAGGGACATTCATGTTCAAGGTTATATGCAGAGTTGGCATCATTAATCCCTAGTGTACTGTTGGCCTGGACCACCTCTCTGGGTGGTGCGCTGAGAGCAAAGGGAAGAGGGTTGAGGAAGAGGGAACTGATGGAAACTAAGAGAAAGCAGAGTCAAGCCAGGATTCCCTGCTGGCTATTTGCCCAGTGCGAGACAAGGGGAAATTTTGCTCTCCATTTGAGTAGCACCTTAGGAGTCCAAAGAGATTCATATCAGAGGAAGTGAGAAGGGTGTAGGGGTTGGGGAGCGTAATAAAGAAGAGATGATAGGAGAATTGAGGGTTAAACTGGATGGTGCAAGTGCTGAATCAGAGAAGGCAGGGGAGATCAGAATGGCTCTCAGATCTGCCCCCTGGACTCAGGGGCTGATAGGAACACGGGCAAGACACACACTTACTGGTCTGCCTGGACTCCGCCTTGGTCAGCAGTGTTCTGAATTTGAGGTGCTAGAGGCAAAGGAAAGGAAAATTAGTCATCTGCACGGCCTCCTGGAATTCTGTCTGAAGCCAGTTTAAATCTCCATCTACTACTAGGTTTTGGATTAGGGGAAGCACAGTATATGCTGCAACTGAGGAGCACAATGTATTATGGCCAGTTTGGAAGTATAGTATATTTTGCACCATTGATATGGGGCCAGTGCTAAAGAGAAAATAGAGCATATAATTGAAAACTCATGGAAAAAGTGAATACTCAAAAAAAAAAGTGAATACTCTAGTTTGGGAGATAAGCCCCCAAAAAGACATCCAGAGGTAGTAATGCTAAGAACATTGAATGTCAGGCTGAGGAGGTATATTTAATTCAGAAGCAAAGGGGACATTCTTGGATATTATCGAGAGGCATAAGGAAATAATCAGAGCTGTGTTTTTTGGAAATGGACCAGAAGGAAAAGAAACTGAAAAACTAGAGGCAGAGAAATGAGTTAGAAGGCGGTTAGAAGTGAAGTACTGCTCTAAACCCGTGGGGATGGAGATGGAAAGACAAATGTATGGAGGTAGAACAAACTGGAGATCATAGCTGGTTTGAGTGGGGAGCAGGGGCAGGGGTCATGTGCCAGGTGTGTCTGCAGCAGGTACAAGCAACGCCTCTGGAGTCAGAGAGACTTTTGGCCTATGCCTGGCCTTGGAACAGTTATGGAATTTCTGTGCCTCATTCTTTCTCATCTATCTAATTGACGTATTAACGGTACCTACTCAAATAGCATTATTGAAAGGATTAAATGAGCAAATACATGTAAAATGTTCGGAAAAGTATCTGGTATGCAGTAAGTAGCACATAACTCAGATATTTGGAGACTTTGAGCTTCTCCCTGAGAAATTGGTGGATATGGCGGTGCCACAAACTGAGAAAAGGAATATGGGAGGAAGAACATATTTAAATGGGGGTAGAGATGAGAATGTTTCAGGAGTCAGGTTGTCCAAACTCCACCCTTAGCCACACCATGGTGTAGATAACTCTGTCAGTTATCTAGTCTATGAGGGAAAGCTGATGAGAGAAAGCCAGAGAGAACAAGATAGAATCATCTAGATTCATCCTAGGGTGTGTTAGTAGGGTTAGCTTTTGAATGGGGAAGGATTGCTCCAGTCTCATAGACAATGTGGCTGTAGAGATGTTTCAAGGTCAAGAAGAGGACAGTTGAAGAGATTACTTTGGGTGACTTTAGTAATGAGAAAAGTTTAGGTCCTTTAGAAGCACAAAAGATCAGGAGCCGTGGTTGGCAACCTGAAGAGAGTGAGAAAATTTAGAAATAGTAGCTGAAGGGGTTGAAATAGTTACCTAGTGATGAATAAAAGTGTAAAGTCACCTGCCTATGGAATCTTTCAGCAAAATGTCTTCTTAGATTTCATTTTCCACATGGGTGATAAGTTTTAAAATTTAGATATTTTATGTCAACCATTTTTTCCCAGATGAATGCTAGCAATGCCACTTGGCCAAGTATTAAAAATGATTTTGGGCTTGCTGAAAGGCATGTGATGTGCCTGTGTGGGAGCTGAAAGGTGAAAGGTGTGTGTGTGTGTGTGTGTGTGTGTGTGTTTTGTTGTGTTGGGGATAATGGTGTGATGGTATAAAATAACACCATTCTCAGTGTTTAATTAACTTTGAGTTATGTTGAGTTTCCCTAAGTAACATCTACAAGTTTCTTAAAGATTATGTTATATAAATGATCAAACGAGTTACACATTAATTGACTTTTACAATAATGTATTGAGAAACCTGGTCTCACAAATTTTATCCTTCTGAACTATCCTTTCCTTATAATGTAGGAAACAGAACAGGGAAGAGTGAAACATCCTGGCTTTCTCTATGTATACTGACTAAGGCCCAAAACAGAAATCAGGGATCAACTCCATGTCACTATGGTTATTAGCACATGGAGTAACTGTTTGGATTTTAGCCTGATTCATATTCTAGGATGGCTTTCAGTATCCTGCAGAGTCAGCACTGTTCATTTTGAGGTGTTTTCCATCTACTTTACATGCATAATTGCTCAGCAACTGGTAGATTTGTTGAGTTCAATATAAGCAGTCTTAAGGCAAAGAGGCATCCCATGGGCACAAGATGATTTTCTTCAATTTCAGCCTGTGGTGTCTGGACCAGTTCTGGACTTCTGACTCGCACTGTGCTCAAAAACCTGCTAGATCTACATTTTCCCTTGGTGGGTTTTGAATGGTTCATTTTAGGGAGTTGATACTGTCCTGTGGGAAGATGGAGTGCCAGCCGGTTTTAAAAATGCCCCTGAACTTTCTGTGGTATCTTCGACAACCCATCCTAAGCAAAGTTTATTAGAGGGAACTTGGGGTCTTTTAAAATCCTGTAATATAATCCCTCTATTTAGCAATAAACATTGGTATACCACTTGGATACCACTGGTTAGATGTATGTGAACTCAGTGGGGTAATAGCAATGACCCCCTGGTATAGTAATAGTAATTATTTGAGTGCTCCCTATGTGCCAGAGAAGCTTCTAACCCTCACAAGCATCCTTCATGTTAGGTACAATTAGTCCCATTTTACAGTTGATAAAACGGGGTCTCTGAAAGATAAATCCCAGTAATCACACATCTAGTAAGTGATAAACTCTCTGTCTCATTTTAATAGATTAGTTAGCCTCTCAATAGGAAATAATGGAAAAAAGATTATGTGGCTCTAGTTTTGCAGGCTAGAGCCCATTTTAATTTACAGAAGATCGTGTCTCCCTCTCCATAATGCTCAAATGAGTACAATACCCCTTGTGAGGATACCTGAAAGTATTAGAGCTACAATAACATCATGTACAAAAGCTTAACCCTCAGTAGATTTCCTTCTGACCATATCATTGTGTGAGTCCTCAGAAATTAGAAGCACAAGCTATTTCATTTAAAAGGAGCTGTTATAATTTTAGACTAGGGTAAGATATTTTTAAACATTTTATCTACCCAGTTGCCTTTACTTAAATTCAGGAGTCATGTTTTCTGCTGTTATTGAACTCACCATCACGTCTAGCAAGTGAGAGGGTTCCAGGTAAGTTTTAAGTATACCCTACTCCCCTTTTCTCCAATATGCACACTTGTAGGCCACTTGCTATGGATTTACACCTGTCCCAGCTGTGGATCAAACTAATTCCTTGCCAAATAGAATTTGCATGGTTAGATGAATAATCTGATGTTTCAATAGCCATTCAAACCTTTTCTACCTGGTATCTTGGTATGACTGTGTACTTGGTTCTAGAAATTGGACTATTGCTTTGTTGATTGCATACATATCCCTTTCTTGTTGACCTCAGCCTCACTGCCTAGTTGGTTTCTCTCTGACCAGCTCGCTTCTGCTAGTCGTCCAGGTTCAAGCCTCATAATTGGTTCTCAGATATCTGTGGCAGATCTCTGACATGCTAATATCCTGCCTTACCTAGACCTACTTCACATTTTCCTGATTACAAGCCCTGTCTAAAGACTTACTATTGGCTCTGCCCCAGAGGGCACGTCCTATTCTGGTGAATTCCTCTTCATCTCTGAGTCTTGATTTGAAATAGACGATCTGATCTGAGTTGTAATTTTGACATGAATTGAAAGATAGACTCCCATTTTAGAAGTTTGTTCATTAGGATATTGAATTATGTTTTTCTTTGGAAAAGTCAAAGGCAGCTAACTGCCCTTCTCTTCTCAACAACCATGTGGTAGGGAAAGATGTGGCTACTCTTTCCCCTCAAAAAGAGGAAACTAAGGAAAAGATAGCTATGGCTATTTCAGATCTCTTACGCATGTAGATACACAATGAACATGGTCAACATGAGTCTCCATTAATAGAGTACCTCTCTATGCTTACCACAGGCTAGCCCCATGAGACCATCGAAATTATGCAAATTGAGGATAGAAGGAAATCCCTCCATAACTGATCTAAAAATCCATGAAGAAGCCCTACAACATCCAAACACAAATATTTCTTGAGCATTTTCAGCCAGACACTGTACTATGTGTGGGGCATATAAACCTGTTCTTTGCTGTGAAGAGATTGACCAACTTAAAGATTTGATAGTTCGTGGACCACCCGTGACATTCTACCCTGTAGTGCCATGTCATAAGGCAGAATGAGGAGGACGGCAAGGGATTATTCCCTTTGAAAACAGGCCATAAAAGTGTCTCTTTTATTGTCACACGTAGACTTTATGCCTGACATCTAGTGGCCACTCCAGGAATTACAGCACAGGATACCAGGCAATGAGTGTTGGTAAAGGAGGCACTAAAGATTTGAGGTAGCCGAAATGAAATTGCCTTCCCACGAGCTTCCTCTCACAGCTGGGGACGTACCACATATATTCTTCTTTACACCTCACTTCCCAAATACAATCCTAAATAATTATTTAATTTTGGAGCTAGAGGGCTCTCACCCAACTTTCATTTAATTATATTCTAACCATTGTATGAGGATATGAAGAAAAGCAAAACTTTACAATTTCTGACTTTAATGAACGTGTTAAGATCAACCTATTGGAAAGATGAATCCCTACCTGTTTACTTTGACTATGGTGTATCATTTTTACTTCTTGAAAAAAAAAATAGATATTCATTTACTAACCTACTTCATGGGGGATACCTTTACCGGTAAAATGGTGAAAATAATTACATTATAACTCATAAGCTTGCTTTGAAGATTTAAGGACTTAAGTCATGTAAATAATTTTTACAGTGCCTGAAACATAATAAGTACTCAAATGGCATTTGATAGTATTATTTAGGGGGGATTCATGATAATAAGCATTTTAAATACATGCACATTAGTGGCCTTATTACTTGTGAAGAGTATTATTCCCCTCCAATATTAAGGTCTACTTATTTAGAGAACTCAAATGTTATATGTGATATTCAGTGATCATAGAGATTCAAAGTTGAAGAGACATTCCCAATCTCTACTCCAGCCCTCTCATTTACACATAAGGACACATTGTGTGAAGTGTGCAAGTTAGCAAGGTTATG